AGTCCATATTAAAAAAAAAAAAAGCACTGGGGTGCTTGGATGGCTCAGTCGGTTAAGCATCTGTCTTTGGCTCAGGTCATGATCCCGAGTCCTGCATCAGGCTTCCTGCTCAGCAAGGAGTCTGCTTCTCCTTCTTCCTCTGCCCCTCCTCCCCTCTCATGTGCTCTCTCCCCCCCAAAAATAAATAAATAAAATCTTAAAAAAAAAAAAAAGCTTTGCCAAATCTTTGCCCTTTGCAAGGGACATCTGGCTGGCTCAGTCAGTAGAGCATGCTACTCTTGATTTCAGAGTCGTGAGTTCAAGCCTCTCTTTGAGGGTAGAGCTTACTTAAAAACAAAACAAACTTTGTTCTTTGGCACTTTGCATGTTTTCATCATCTTTACAGTTTTGGGTTTTTTTTTTTAGGATTTTATCTATTTATTTTAGAGAGAGAGAGGGTACATGCCAGCGATGGAAGGGCAGAGGAGGAGGGAGAGGGAAAGGGCGAGAATCCCAAGTACACCCCGCACTTAGCGTGGAGCCTGCCTCAGCCTGCAACAGCCTGCCTGTTGATCCCATAACCCCGGAGATCACGACCTGAGTTGAAATCAAGCATGGACTGCTTAGCCAACTTTGCCACCCAAGTACGCCTATACAGTGTTTATTTAAAAATTATTTTGGCTTTTTGTTGCTATTGTTTTTGTTTTTCATCTTTACTGTTTGTACTAACATTTCTAACCCCTTTCTGTGCCTTAAACTACTCCCTCTTTCTGTCTTCTCTATTCTGTTGATGATACCATCAAGTCCATTAATCACTCTAGCAAAAAAGTTTGCAGCAACTTTTTAATTTCTTTCAGCCATTTTATTTATTTATTTAACAGAGAGAGAGACATCAAAAGAGGGAACACAAGCAGGGGGAGTGGGAGAGGCAGAAGCAGGCTTCCCGCCGAACAGGGAGCCTGATGTAGGGCTCGATGTAGGGCTCGATCCCAGGACCCTGGGATCATGACCTGAGCCGAAGGCAGATGCTTAATGACTGAGCCACCCAGGTGCCCCTGCTGCAGCTTTGACTTTTCCTTCATCCATTTCCTTTTATTCTTATTTTGTTTAAAGTTTTATCTATTTAAGGAATGTCTACACCCAATGAGGGGCTCAAACTCACAACCCCAAGCCCAAGAGTCCCATACGCTTCTGACTGAGCCAGCCAAGTGCCCCATCCATTTCCTTTTAGGTCACTATGTTTTCATGCTGCCACCACCCTCTTGCCTGGATTATTGCAAAAGCTTCCTGACTGTCTTCCTTATTAAAGATCTCTCAGTATCTGCTTTCCCAAACATTCTATTCATCTCTTCCAGATCAACTTTTCTAAAACAGAGCTGTCATCAGCTTCTTATTATCCATTGAACTAAGTCTAAACTATTTAACCAAAGATGAAACCTGTTCATGATATAACCTTGACCTACTTCTCTAATGTTATTGGTCAATGGTCTGCCATGCAAGTGTTGGGGAGTCATGGAGATGGGTCAAGGATCTTGAGATAGGCAAACTGGACTATTCTTTGCTTCTTGAACAGATTGAGCGTCCTTCTATGTGTGTATGGATATGTATGTGAGTTTGCCTTGGTCCATGTCAAAGGACAGTTCAATTACGTCCTTCCTGATGACTGCTAACAAATATGATCTTTCTCCTGTACCCCCACTTTTATTTGTATTATATGTATTTTACTGTTAGGCTCACATTCATCCCACGAAATGGTACATTCTTTGAGGAAGTGGATTGATTTTTCTCTATTTTCCTAGCCTCTGGTTACTGGTTGCTAGATACCCTAAAAGTGAAAGGCAGAGATAGAGAAGATTGATCTTTGGTACATGTGGGTGGCTCAATCCGTACAGCATGTGACTCTTGATCTCGGAGTTGTGAATTGGAGCCCCATGATGGGTGTGGAGATTACTTAAAAACAAAATCTTCTTTTTTTCAAATTTTTAATGTAAATTGTAGTTAGTTAACATAAAAATAAAATCTTTTAAAAAACAGAAAAGATTGGTATTTAAGTAGATCCACCATCGTTTAATCATCTCTTCAGTATCAAATGACATATCCAATCAATGAAACAGAAACAATGAATGAAACAATTCTTATCCTCATGGAACTTACATTCTATTTTTTTTTTAGGAATCTTTTTTTAAAAAATATTTTATTTATTTATTTCACAGAGAGACAGAGAGAGAGCGAGCCCACAAGCAGGTGGAGCAGCCGGAGAAGCAGGCTCCGCCCAAGCAGGGAGCCTATTGCAGAGCTTGATCCCAGGACCCTGGGATCATGACCTGAGCTAAAGGCAGACACTTAACTGATTGAGCTACCCAGGCACTCCGGAACTTACGTTCTAGGGGAGGAAAACTGATAATAGGAACATTTTATATATAATATGAATCTTGTATATCATATATTTATGTAAAGGCAAGAAGTGCTATGGAAAATATTTAAATTAAAGCAGAGAAAAGAGTTTTGGTAGAAATGGTGGAGTGAGTGCTAATCTTATTTTCTTTTGTTTATTTATTTAATTAATTGTTTTTTAAGTAAGCTCTATGCAGGGTGCCTGGGTGGCTCAGTTGTTAAGTGTCTGCCTTTGGCTCAGGTCATGATCCCAGGGTCCTGGGACCGAGCCCCACATCGGGCTCCCTGCTCCGTGGGAAGCCTGCTGCTCCCTCTCCCACTCCCCGTGCTTGTGTTCCCTCTCTTGCTGTGTCTCTCTCTGTCAAATAAATCAATAAAATCTTTAAAAAAAAATTTAAAAAAGAAAAGAGTAAGCTCTATGCCCAATGTGGAGCTCGAACTCACAGCCCCGAGATCAAGAGTTGCATGCTCTTCTGACTGAGCCAACCCAGGTGCCCCTGGAAATTTTATTCTTTATCATTAGTTTAAAATTTATTATTGAAGTATAATTGACATACAATGTTATATTAGTTTTAGGTGTACAACATAGTGATTCGACAATTCTATACATTATTCAATGCTTATCATGATAAGTGTAGTCACCATACAACATTATACAATATTATTGACTATTTTCTCTATACCGTACTTTTCATCTCTGTGACTTACCTATTTTATAACTGGAAGTTTCCACCTCTTAATCCCCTTCATCTATTTTGACCATCCCCCCCCAACCCACCTACTCTCTGGCAACCACCAGTTTCTTCTCTGTATTTAAGAATCTGTTTATTTGTTCATTTGTTGTGTTTTTTAGATTTCTTTGAAAAAAAAATTTTTTTTGAAGATTTTATTTATTTATTTGACA